GTCCCTGGTGGCCACTGTTCTACTTGTCTCTCTCTGAATTTGACTATTCCAGATACTTCCTATGTGGTTCCTGGCTTTCGATATAAAGTGGGCTGGCTGAGACTCTGAGCACGGACGGCACGTGCCTCCTGCTTCTCTTTCTTTGGTGTAAGTTTATCAGTGTTCAGCTGTGTGACGACAGTCCCAGCCAGCTATGGAGCCCGGAAGACCGTTCCCGGGGATTTTCCTCTCGTTTGCTGCCGTCGCTGTGGAGACTGCTATGCAGCTAACGTGTCAGCGTCAGAGCACGGTCTCCAGTGTGTGCAATAGGAGCTGCCACCGTCACAGTTAACTTCTCCTGCCCGTCACAGTAATAAGTAGATTCCTTCCATTTAGGTGGATTCGGTGAAGTGCTCAGTGGTGCTGTGAGCACCATCTCTCAGAATAAATTGAAACCATGTTTGAAGGATGCTGTTTCTACTAGTGATGATTTCTGAATTTTCCTTCTTCATCTGCTCTGAAAGATTTCTTCCTAAATATGTAGGTTTTGTACTCAAAACAGTGTTTGTTTTTTTAAAAATGTGTTAAGTATGCAATTCTGCTTCTTTCCCACCATTACCCTTCCCTCTAAATGTGAATCTTGTTTAGCTGATCAAGAAACATCTGGGACTTTTCAAGGCCTGTTTCATCTGAGAGAAGGGCACATCTGGCTTAGAATATTTCTGGAAAATGCAAAAGCAGAAAGGGAATTTGAAAAGACTGAAGTGTGCTGGGAGAACATGTCCGTGTCTTATTCCAGAGCATGAGAGTCACGAAGACATTTGGTTTGGAGGATGTGGGCGGCCCTGCAGCTGAGGCCTTCCTCATCTCCAAAGCCCCACAGCAAACCGGTGAGCAGTCCAGGCTTCATAAATCTGGACCGCAGGTTCCTTTCAGGAGTTGGAGAAGACTGAAGAGGAAGGTATTTTTCCCTCTGCTTGTAAAGTAACGAGGACCAATGGCCTCCTAACCCCATGGGTGTCTCGGTGGAACGGTTGAGGATGGATAAAATTCATCAGATTAAGTCATCTCTCCCAACTCATCACACCCTCCCTGTATTATTTAATAGGACTATGTATCCACTCTCTGTGCCACGTGACTTTGTGTTATCTTCTACTCACGTGGATGCAATACACGTCCTTACCTCACTGATTTGGGATTTTTCCAAGTGACTTGCTTTGGCCAACAGAATATGGGCAGAAGTGACAGTGTGACAATTTCAGACAGAGGCCTCAAGAGGCATTATGTGTTTTCACTCAGCACTTGGTGCTACACCACCAGTCGATGTGAGAAGAGCATGCCTTGGGGAGCTGCTGATCCCAGGGGAATGAGGCAGATCCCAGGGAGGCATCCCCAATCTGAGCTGCACCACGGAGCCAGGCCCAGCTGACCAGGCCTCGCCTGCCCCAGACTGATGTTCGCTGACCTCCAGACCCAGGAGTGAGAAAAGTATGTGCTTGATGCGGTAGGCCTCTGAGTTTGAGGTAGTTTGTTACACAACACTATTGTGGCAATAGCTGACTAATTCAAAGAACAGAATGCAGACGCCAAGAGTAAAAGGGTAAGCGAAGTAGGCGGCCAACATGTGAGTCAACAAGGAAGTGACGGCTGGGCCTGAGCGAGAGCAGGTCTGGAAGGCTCGCCGAGAACCAGGTGGAGACAACAGGAGGAAGGAACACAGCAGCTGCAGCCCCACCAGAGCGCCCCCACCCCACTTCTGTGCCTTTGGGGAGCACTGGGCTTTTCTGGTGTCTTTGTGCAATGTTGCCAATGTCTGAGAGGCTCCCAGAGAGGACACGTTTGATTCCTAGCAGGGTCCAGCCTTCCAGTTATGGGGACTATCTGGGCTCCTGGTCACAACGTGTCAATGGAACAATAGAAAGGTGGGGCACGTGAGACATAAGGACAGCGTTCTGCTGAATGGGTGTTGGCACCGCTAGCTGGGATGTGCCTTAACTTCACAGAGTCGTTAGTACAGGGAACCGGCCCTCCACAGTGGAGCTTTTGGGTTATGGAGGTGCGAGCAGGGCTCTGTGAGGTTCTGTGACCTTGAACTTATTTAACCTCTCCAAACTGAGGCTTGGAGACAGTGGGGATGATAACAGCACCTACACCATAGGACTGTTACGAGGAGTAAATGAGAGGGACCAGCTAACGTCGCCTGACACAGAGCAAAGCCCTCCATGAATTAACACCAATGGTTGTGCTGCCGTTTTGTGACAGGAAGAGATGGACGTATCTTGTTTTTCTGAGCCTAGATGTTTAATAAAAGTAGGAGTCCCATAAAATGGATTGTAATACCAAGTTTGAACTTTATCAGCAATACCCTGAGCAGAAACCAGTCTTCCTGCCTTTAGTTTCTCAGCCCAACCTGCCGGCTTTTGTTTTCTTTCCGTTTTCTCTTTTACTCAGGGAAATCTGTCTACTCTGATGCTTATAGGGGGGAAAAGGTGGACGTGGACCTGAAGGAGCCCACGACAGAGCTCAGCAGGACACCGCCTCTTACCAGCAGCTTGGGCCATGGACGCACCGTTCCACAGTCCGCTCTCCCACTGAGAGCCAGGTGAGCCCTCTGCCATACCTATGGCTTGTCAAATGGATCATTCACGACATCAGCTGGGGAATTTTCAGCTAGACAGATCCCTTCACACCAAGTTGCACTGATTCTCCTAATCTGCTGTAGAAGTTTGCCCCAGTTCTGTCTCACACGCTTCTTTTCCGGGGGAGAATTTCCCTGACCAGTGAGCTCCTTTCCCAGCTATTCCTACATGTTTCCCACAGTTTGTGTGGAGAACCCATCTGTCCCAGGAGGCAGACTCCTCCATTTTCTCCCTAAAGCCAGCCCCTCTGGAGGCTCTTTGTCTGTCCCTGGCCCTGGTTCAAACCCGAGTGGAGGTGCAGGAGGAGGTGGCAGCCCCCGCCACAGGGTGCCTGGTGAGCAGGGTAAGAGGACAACCTAAGTTCTTCCCAAAAGCCTTTCGCTCTTCAGCAACTTGCAAAAACAAAATCACTTCTATTGTTTTCTCTCCTCCACCCTTCCCCAGGAGAACAGGCCAAATGCTGTTCGGTTTCTCTTGCATCAGATTTGAGTTTGGGCTTCTTTATGGTAGAAATCAGTCCTAGAAGGAAGTGCTTTTAACCACAAAAGCATGCACTCAGCGACTCCCTACCATGTGCGTGCCATTCTAAGCGACTGCCATGTATTCACTTGTGAATCCTCTCAGTGACGGGTGAGGTAGGTACTATTAGTATCCCCTTTTACAGATGAGGAAACTGAGATTTCCAGAGGCTGAGTCACTTTTTATTTTTACATGATTGAAAAATTTTAAAAATTATTCCTTTTTTTGCACCCTTCCTTTTGCTCTCCCTTTGCTATGACAATGGGTCCAGTCGTCACCTGTGGCGTATGTATCATGCTCTGTAAACCCATATCTTGCTTTTGCCCCACAATCCTATCTTTCTCTCCTTGATAAACCTCATCTTCATGCTTGCCTTACTTTGGTGTGTCTGGTCATTCTTCGGCCATGAGCGCACTGAGAACTGACATTTTCACACGGAAACCTGACAGGTTTCTCAATTGCCCTGCTTAGTCCTGCTAACTTTGCTTCATACATTTGAAGCTCTGTTATTAGGTGCACACTGTCTGCGAAATATAATTAAAAACAAACGCTCTTGCCAATCTAGAAAACCTTTCCACAAAAGTGAAGAAGAAGAAAACAGTTTCTTTTTGAGTAAGAATTAATCCAGATCTGTATCTTACAGGCAATCAGCTAAAGAGTTCGCAATGACAGAAAGAAATCCCAGCGTTTTATGTAGTCAAGCAGTTGTAACCTGGTTCATATATATTCTCAAGATAAATGGTAACTAGTTCTTAAGTAAGAGGATTTAATAGCACCATTTGTCACACATAGTTCATCCTAAATTTATCTGGTATGGGGCAGCTGCCTGTGTTTGGTAATTCCCTTTATTTACAGGAAATACACTATTTTCATATTTTTATGTCAGGACCTAGGTTTCTAGCTTAAAGCTAGCTGAAGTTAGGCTCGCATCTTCCCAAGGAGACTGGGAGACAGGTGCACTACCTACCTCCCTTGATGATTATGTCACAAAGCGATGAAGGAGCTCAGGGATTTCACCCCGAAATCTGACTCCTTGGAATAAAGAGTATTCTGAATTAAAGGCCCTTAGAGATCAACAGCCACTGGAAGGAGCTTTCTTTCTATCTGCGTAAAACCAGCTGCACCCAACAAAAAGAACAGTTGACTTCCCTTCTCCTCCCTGTTATCTCAATATATTGCAAGAAAGGACATCAAGAATGCAACCAGACTTGGGCCAACCCATCTTAAAGATAATACCTGTCCCTCAGGTTAATTTAATTTCCAAAGAGACTCATTTATAAGTCACTGTTTCCCTCTCTCCTTTCATTCTCCTAAGTATCTATTCATCCTTTCCAGTAACCATTTATTGCCCCTAAAACAGAATTAATTAACTAAATTCCTCATCTCTCCCCCCACCTCTATAATGAGGATATATAAACTTCTGGACACCATTGGGATACTGGGTAATCACTGTGATACTCCCCATGTCCACGATAAGTCAATTTGTAATCTCTTTCTTTTATTAATCTGCCTTATAGTGATTTGATCTTTCAGCACACCTTCCAGAGGCAAAGGGAAAGTTTTTCTTTTCCCATACACTCCCATGTCCTTGAGAAAAAGATTCCTGGGCTTTAAAATTGGCAAAAGGCTTTTTTATCTTTTAAAAGATTTATATACATCTTACAATTTAAAAAATTCAAAAATATTTACATGTATCTCAAAAGGGCAGAGAAAAAATTTGCGATTACAAAGTTTTTAAAGTAAATGCTCTAAAACCATGGTCCCCACTCCCTGGTCCTCTGGAATGGTACCGGTCCGTGGCCTCTTAGGGACCAGATGCAGAGCTCTGCCATCCCCCCCCAACCCCTATCTGTAGAAAAACTTTCTTCCATGAAAAAAAAAACAAAACAAAAAAATTATTATGGGTACACAATAGTTGTATATCTTGATGGGGTACATGTGATACTTTGATACAGGAATACAACATGAATTAATCAAGTCGGAGTAATTGGGGTATCCAACACCTCAGGCACTTATCATTTCTTTGTGTTAGAAACTTTCCAGCTCCACTCTTTTAGTTATTTTAAAGTACACCCTAACTTATTGTTGATTATAGTCACTTTGTTGTGCTATCAAATATTGTCCATTCAATCTATCTAACTATATTTTTGCACCCATTTACCATCCCCACTTTATCCCCCTCCCCAATATCCTTCTCAGCCTCTGGTGCCCATCACTCTACTCTCTGTCTCCATGAGATCAATTGTTTTTAATATTTAGCTCCCACATATGAATGAGAACATGTGAGATTTGTCTGTCTGTACTTCACTTAACATAATGTTCTCCAGTTCCATCCACGGTGTTGCAAATGTCAGGATTTCATTCTTTTTTGTGGCTATATGACATTCCATTGTGTATATGTCCTATAGTTTCTTTATCCATTCATCTGCTGCTGGACACTTAGGTTGATTCCAAATCTTGGCTATTGTGAATAGTGCTGCAATAAACTTGGGAGTGCAGATATATTTTTGATATACTGATTTCTTCTCCTTTGGATATATACTCAGCGGTGGGATTGCTGGGTCGTGTGGTAGTTCTATTTTTAGTTTTTTGAGGAACTTCAGTACTATTTTCCATAGTGGTTGCACTAATTTACATTCCCGTCAACAGTATACAAAGGTTCCCCTTTCTCCACATCCTCTCCAGCGTTACTGCCTGTCTTTTTTTTTTTTTTTTTTTGAGACAAGGTCTCACTCTGTCGCCTGGGCTGGAGTGCAGTGGCATCATCATAGCTCGCTGCAGCCTCAAACTCCTGGGCTTAAGTGATTCTCCTGCCTCAACCTCCTGAATAGTTGGGACTACAGGTGCGCGCTACCACGCCCAGCTATTTTTTTCTATTTTTAGTAGAGGCGGGGTCTCACTCTTACTCAGGTTGCCTTTTTGATAAAAGCCATTTTAACTGGGGTGAGATGATATCTCACTGTAGTTTCGATTTGCATTTCTCTGATGACTAAAGATATTGAGCATTTTTTCATACACCTGTTGGCCATTTGTATGTTCTCTTTTGAAAAATGTCTATTCAGATCCTTTGCCTATTTTTAAATCAGATTATTTGATTTTTTTCTATTGAGTTGTTGAAACTCCGTCATAATATATTCTAGTTATTAATCCCTTATCAGATGGGTAGTTTGCAAATATTTTCTCCCATTCTGTGGGTTGTCTCTTTCCTTTGTTGATTGTTTTCTTTGCTGTGTAGAGGCTTTTTAGCTTGATGTGATCCTGTTTGTCCAATTTTGCTTTGGTTGCCTGTGCTTTGGGGATATTACTCAAGAAATCATTGCCGGGATCAATGTCCTAGAGCGTTTCCCCAATGTTTTCTTTTAGTAGAGGCTGAGCGACCTGCCTAGGGTGGACAGCTGGTAAGCAGGAGGGGCAAGATCTGTACTCAAAGTCTGGTTCTGAGGACTGCACTTGTACCCACCATGTTATATATTTATAATAAAATATAACATATTTTCACAGTATTGGCTGGGCTGAAGGCCACAGTAACATTTATTTGCTTTTTTTTCTGGAAAAAATAACAAATATTCGGCAATGTTCAGAGATTTGGCAGCCTCTTAATAGGCTCCAGGAATAGCCTGGCTTTCCATGGGTGAATGTTCTTTTTATAATTGGAGCCCCAGGTACCAATTTTAGGCAATGAGAAAAGTCATTCAACTTCTTATTAGTATGCCAACATCTCCCACCCTCAGCCTGGCTGAAACCAACTTAACCATCTCCCTTGCCACCCTGCTTGCCTCTCCAACTCACACAAAAACTAATGTACAATTTGATCCATTTCCCAAGACCTGGTGTTCTCAAGCTGTGGAGTTGCCTTTGCCTCCTCTGGTTGGTTTCTCATATCTGAAAGTTCCTTCTGGCCTGGCCCTTCTCCTCAGATAGCAGCCTTCCCACTGGCCTTTCACCCTTATCAGACTAATCCCCCTCGAGCTCTAGGGTTCCAGCAGGAAAGAGATGGCACACTCAAGCTGGGCTGCTGCAGAGTGTAATCTAAGGCACTATTCACAAAGCTGTAGGGGGTGTTTAGGGTGGGGCAATGCACAAGGGCTGTCACAGAGAGGAGTCACTATTACTCCTAGGCCTGCAGAGTCCAGGGGAGAAAGCAGTCACTAGACCCCAAAAAGAGCTGAGTGGAGATGGCCCCTGACAGGAGCTGTGGCCTTAGGAGAGGGACATAGACAACTGAGGCCAACAGGGAAGGAGCTGGGGGAATAAATACCCTGACTTCAGTTTCCTTCCTACCTCCCTCCACTGCATTCTTGGGAGCTGGGGGTACAGTCCACATAGGGAAACTCCCAGGTACAGAGGAGGGCAGGGACAGTGGGGAATGGACTCAGAGGGGCAAAGGAGGATATAAGGATATGCAACATACACCATTTTTGCCTGGTGATTCCTCCGATGAGAA